AATTTTAGTAATTGTCGATAAACTATGGACAAAAGACTTAATAACATTTATCAGTTATAAATTATAACACTAGATTTAGATWTWAAAAAAGATTGAAMATTTTTTTTCAATGGTTATTGAATATAATTAAATATAAATTTCCTATTATACGGTTCAAGGGGGGTGTCCAGACACCCAAAACACCCCCCTTGGTTGCGCCACTGTTGTATGTTACCCGAATTACATAAACATTTTTGAGATGAACAACAGGAGAACATAATTGCTTTTTATAAATAGGTTTCTGGATGGATTTATAATTTTTTTTACCTATGAATAGTTTTGACATTTCTGTAGTAGGTATCAATTTATATAACATTTTTTTTTTTTTTAAACTACCTGAATTAAACAAACACTTTTTCTCACTTTTATGTTTCTTAGTAGATGTATATATTTTTTCTTTTGTTAAGTAAAATTATTTTAGTTTATTAAAATTAAAATTATTATTTTTATTTTATGATCATGTATATAATTACTAGGTGGATTTGGAAATGGAGAAATATTATTACCAATATTATTACTTATTGGATCAGAATTTTCATCAAATTCATCATTATCTCTAAACGATTTTGCAGCATAAACTTTGCAAATTTTCAATGTAGTACTAGAGTCACTTTCAAAATCCAACCTACACTCTGCTTTACTTAATATTTCTTTAGCTTCAACAAAATCATCTAGAAACAAAAATATTTAATTTAAGTACACATTACCAATTAATATATCAAATGCATGTCAGACCTGTTTTTTTAAATATTATAAACGTCTCTTGTAGTTGGAGGTGTATTTGGAATTTCTATTGATACAACAGTGCGGTCATACAATTTGAAGCTTTTGTAATTTGGAAAGAAACTTGATTTTTCATTAATTTACCAATTACTTGGAATAATTTGTAATCCATTGTAAAATTCAACAACCAAAAATATCTACAAATTTACATATTAATAATTTGTATATTATATATAAAAGTTTTATATTGATTTGTACCATTATATTATTATTAAGTATTAAAATTTAGGTACCTTGATTATTGTTAAGGTAACCATAATTAAGTAGATACCTATACCTAATTAATATTTAGAAAAATTTTACATATTTATCTATATTCCAAGGAAGTCTATAACGAAAACATTTTTTTTTGCACCTGACAAATGGACCTAGTACTTATTGATGACAGTTCACCTTCTACATAAATACCAAGTAATGATGATGGACAAGGAGTTTTATAAAGATCACCTTGCACCAAAAATTGTTTTCCTTTTAATCCATACAATCCAATATTTTGTCATTCTACATATCGCCTACTAATTTGATGTAATGGTTTATCACTATTACGAATAATTTTTTTAAATTGCTGCATACCATTTTTGAATTTGAAAGCACTAAATTGGTCAAGTGTTCCATGATATTTAACATAATCTGCCAAGTGTAAGAGTCCATGAATATTATGAGACATATTATGAAT